TGGAGCTGAAGTCTGACGGCTGAAAACACACACACACACACGGTCATCAGTCTGATCACATGACTCTGCTCTGACTGTACTGACGTGGACACGCAGTTCTCACCCTGAGGGAGACGGGGAAACACACAGACCTGGAGGCCCGGGACCCTGAGAGAAGAAAGTTCACAGAACTGTTTAAAACAAAAGAAAACAAGAAAATTCCAGAGTTAAAAAACCACTTCAAACATGGTTGGTCACCGGTGTTCTGGCTGCGGTCGGGCAGCGAGCGCGTTTTCCTCCTCAGAGGAGCCGCGGATTTGTCCAACTCCTCCTTCAGGATGATTTTCCCCAGATTGGACTGAATCTGTGAAACAGAGATGATACGAGAAAAAAGGAATTTAAAAATTCCTGTTGCAGTAGATGTGCTGCAACAGGCTACCCCTAGGAGGCGCTCTTGGAATTAAACCCAGGACCATGTGCTGTTTGCCTGTAATGCAGGTTGTGCTAACCGCTACATTGTGGACCCACAATTTCATGGTCACCTGACTGCTGGTCACCCGACTGATGGTCACATGACTGATGGTCACCTGACAGATGGACACGTGACAGACGGACACGTGACTCGTGGTCACGTGACTGGTGGTCACCTGACTCATGGTCACATGACTCAGGGTCACCTGACTGATGGTCACCTGACTCATGGTCACGTGACTCATGGTCACCTGACTGTGATGATGTGACAATGTGTAAGGATAAGAGACACAGAGCAGGAAAGCTACCACTAGGGGGCGTTTTTTTATCCCCTGAAATGACGTTAAACTGATGCATCAGGCTAACGTTAGCTTGTACATTTAATATTTCTGGGTAGTGTTGGTGTAATTAAAAAATAATTCCATCTTCCGACGTAGTTCCGACCTTGTTGAGTTCCTGTTTCTGGAGAGTTCTGAGAGATACCATACATTGGAGTTTGCTACATTTGATTTTTTTTTTCATTTGTGTTGTTTTTTTGGAACTTTTTTTGCCCTTTATTATGGCTCCCAGGCGGAAGTCAGACTCTGGGGACAAGAAGAAGGCTGAGGAGGGGGGTTTTGAAGGATTTGTGCTGACACCTCATACGAAAGAATGTCCCTCTGATGACCAAACTTCCTGGTACCAAAGTTCCTTTGGTACCAGAAGGAATTGGGTTTTGTCTGAATGTATGTATGTGATGGCTTTAGAAGTGCATATGTATGGACATTGTGTCAAAACCCGACTCTATGGCTATGATTCCCAACCACTGTGTCCTGGAAAACCCTGGAAAATGATCCAATTTCCCAAAACTAGTATTTATTGCAAATAATTTTGTCAAAGAGCAATGAACTCCTCTTCCACTAGGTGGCAGCAGATGGTTGTTAAAGCTAAGATATTATCAGAGCTGTTGAAGAAGATCTTTGTGTCTTTCTTCAATTCCTGCCAGTATATTAGTGTTGTCTTCAACTAAACAGTGCGTGGACAAAGCTATTTAGAGCTGGCGTAACCATGACAACCATCACAGCCATTCACGTTCACGTTGTCAAACTTTACCTTTTCTGTAAATCGGAGGCTTCTTATAAATGTTGGATGCATTTTCTGATAAAAAAAGAAAAGCAAAAGATTTTAAAAACACTGGTCCGAGCTGTTGCTGCTGCTGCTTCGTACCATCGTCTCAGAAACTGGTCTTACTGTGTTCACCTGGTCTGTGGAAGTGCTGCATGGCGCTCTTGGTACCGGCGGAGTGCGTGATCGACGGGATGGTGTTTGGAGTTTGCGACGTCGACGGCGTGTGCGCACTGTGGGTTCTGCTGGTCTGGGCGCAGGAACCAGGTGAGGAACAACCAGGGGAATGGGCTTCCAGCCACTCCTTGGACAAGTTCTGCACAGGGTAGGGGAGGTCAGAGGTCAAAGGGTCACAGACCGGTCAACCGGTATCAGCCATTATGAGGGACCGGTACTAAATGACCTACGGGCCGGCGCAGGTCCCCGCACCGGGTGTTGAAGACCCCTGTTGTACGGTATAGACCAGTGACAAAAGAAAGCTTAATTCTTACCTCTGGGGAGGCAGGAGGGGAGATGGAACGAGGAGACAAGGACCTCTGAGAGAAAGGAAACATAAAACACATGGAATATATGTTCAAAATATGTGCAATATATACTATCTCTGTCTATAAGTCTATCTGTTGTATGGTATCATATTTTAACAAATATATATATTTTACATATATTGTACAAAATATGTACAATATATGTGCAATATATATACAATATATGTGCAATATATACTATTTCTGTCTATAAGTCTATCTGTTGCATTGTATAATATTGTAACAAATATATATATTTTACATATATTGTAGAACATTACAATATGTGCGCGATATATGTACAATATGTGTACAATATATGCTCAATATATGTACAATATGCGTGCAATATATACTATCTAATATTTTAACAAACATACAGTATATTTTTAAACAAACTAATTTCTCAGAGACGCAGACATCACCTCTAGTGGACTGTAGCAGTAGTGCCGGTTGGTGGGTCATCAGGCCCGGTCTCTCTATGTCCAGGATGGCTTTGTCTTTGGGCAGGGCTGCCAAGTCTTTGTATCCGATAACCTCATTCTCCACTCTGGCCTGAAGGGGGAGCAAGGGAGGCGTCGGAGTCAGATTATTTAATTTCTTCCAGATTAATCGAGAGTAATGATACAAAGAGTGAGCGTCTCACCACGATGGCCGCAGGGTGACCTGGGATATTTGACCCTTTCAGTGACAACACACTCCCTGGAGACGTCTGGGCCGGCTGCTGCTGACACACACACACACACACATACACTGAGTTCAACCTTGAACTAACGATTTCCTGTATCACAAAATAATTAAGTATAGGGATGTCCGATATTAACTTTTTCCGATACACCGATATTGTTCCAATTCTGATGTCAACCAATACCGATGTATGCAGCCGTTTGCAATTCACTTTCACTTTCACTTTTTACTTTCACTTTCACTTCATAACTTATTTGCGTTGCGTTATCGGAAGAAAAATCTGTGTTCTTACTGCTATTACGTAATTAAGCTAACACTGGCCGATAATAGCGGTCGGTCAATCGTCGGACATCCCTAATTACGGAGGTCATTTGTATCGTTTAAAGTAGTCTCACTTCATTTCATTTACCTTGGGCATCATCCTGACTTCTGATTAGTCCGTACCTGGAAGGAGAACAAACACAAGTTTGTCGGACCTGTTTGTGTGTGTGTGTGTGTTGTGGACAAATAGCAACAGAGGGATTATTCCAGAGGTTTATGTAACAAAGAGAGAGAGACAGAGGGAGTGACAGCAGGTCAGGGGTGAGAGAGGTGGGGGAGTTAAAGGGGGGGGTGAGTGGGGAGCCACACATCACACAGGCTTCTGTCAAAAACAACGACCAAATGTGTGTGTGTGTGTGTGTTTACCTCTCAAAAAGAATCAGGGATCATTTCTGAAAGCGTTTTTTTCAACGTCCTCTTGTCCGGATCAGCATCTAAAACATTAAGAGGTCAAAGGTCA